GGAAAGAGTATCTGTTCAGAGACAAAGTTCCTAGTTACTCTGATCTGGTCAGTGTAAGTTACTAATCTTCTCTACAGGGATACTTACTTGCCTCATAACTCAGTAAGAAATCTCAGTAACCACCACCACCACAACAACAAAAGTATGATCTATTAGTCCAAAATAAAAAACATACCTACCTGTGTTTTGAGTGTGATCTTTTCCTTCTAGATCGGGATTTTGAGCTAGACCTGGATTCTGAACGAGAATGGGAACGAGATCGACCGCCTTTTCTTTCACTGCTCTTTCCAGACTCTGAGAGGAAAAAACCACTTTGCAGTGTAAGCTCAGAACATTTAAAGATCCCAGTTAACAATCTGGCACAAGTGGAATGTACCACATATAGTGCAAGGGGCCTACTCTTTGCACATCTTCCTTCTTTGCAAATATCCTTCAGAAACATCCAAGAAAGTCATTGCATATACTCGTTGAGTGCAGCCATCCTGCAGCAGTACACATAAACCAGATAATTATAAACAGCTAGCTCTATTAGGAATGGGATTTATGTTGCTGCCACAATGCACAAGATCACAACATGTTCTCCTCTTGGTCTATTATTTAATATAATTACTTTTTTTTTTAAATAACCTGAGAAGAATAGAGTAAATTTAGAGGGCATAACTTTCAAAACAAGCATAAAATGTAAATAGTAATTAGTACTTGCTATACTTTTAGATATTTCAACCCTTGTACAAATACTGGAGTTTTATTCCTTAAATATTGTTTTGTGGGAGGAAGGGATGGAGAGAACAGGGTGAAAAGTTTGATCCAAAGGCCAGGAAATCAGCAGAAACCTTAACAGTGACCTCACCAGACTTTGGTTCAGACTCTACAAGACTGTTATTCTGCTGCTTAACATTGAGAAAATGTTAGAGCTGGTTTTTTCCAACCCTAAAAAACAACAGAAAATACTCACCCACCGCCCCCAAAAAAAACCTCAAGACTCCACACTGTCTAACCTATATAAGACAATGTCTGGGTTTGTTAGGAAGAAGAATGACAAAATCTCGCTGATGAGAAGAAGAAAGAGGATCTCAACTGCAAGTTTAACAAGTTGAGATTTTTTTTATGCTGTGGTTTTGCTATCAGTTTAAGTCAGCATAAACCATCACTGAAATGTCTCTCTAACCTCTCAACCCACCAACACCTTCCTCCTTGACCTGGCATCTCAGTGTTAACAGGGATCAGGGGACCAATCTGGATGAAAAAAAGTCCTTTACAATATACTAAGTTTTATCCCAGATTCATTCTCTGATCCCATTTGCTATGAGGATGCACACAGTCTTGAGCCAGCATGAAAAAGAGCATAGCAAAGGGACAAAATTAACCTGCTGCAGATAAGGAAAGCATAATATTACTGCTTTCAGAACCATGCTAGCTCCCTCTGATCATGAAACTATGGCATTAATGGGTGCTAGAGGAGAACAAAACAAAATATAAAGCATTTTCTTTTAAAAATTTGTAAGTACTCTGAACTTAAAAAGCACCAACGTTAAGTATTAATTTAGTATTAACTTTGTATTTTTTAAAACATTCAGTGAACATGTATCTGAAAATAAGACATAAAGAAATAAAAAGCTTCATTCCACTGCTTTGTTGCATTAACACAATTTTGATTATTTTCTTTTTTTTCCCCAACACATATTGTTCACATTTGAGTACCCTTTTCCTGTGTTTGAAAATGCTCTTAAAAACATGTGCCAAGGAGCACACAGAACGTGTCTGTTAGGTAATGAACGTAATATACCTACCTGGCTCAATAGCAGCAGATATGAAAGACTGAGCTTCCCTTACTCTCTTCATCACTTCTTCCAGCTCCTTGGCAGCAGCTTGTGGTGTCATTTCAGGAGGCTTCACTATTGCATTATTGGAGTGATTTATTCTAAATTAAGCAAAAATAAAACCTATAACTCCCAGACACTCAAAAAGGAAAAATGAAAAACAACTAAGAAAGGAAAACACCTTAACTTCCATGTATGACTAAAAACTTCAAAGTTCAGCAAAACTACAGATTTGTCCTAACACTCATCTGTTGTATGTATGTGAAATGTCTATTATTGCTTTCAAATCTTACCACTTTTAAATAGATGTGACACAATATTTCTGTGTTAAAATATTTTCTATTAGAAGTCTAGGAATCTATGTCTCTATTTCAGATCAAATCTCTACATTAAGGCCTACTAACTACATACACATCCTATAGGAAGCTTAATTAGTACTAAGGACTTTGCAGATTCTTTCATTATTATAGCTTCCACTACCTCAAGATTAAATGTAAATATATTTTACTCAATGCCATCCATATTCTTCCCAGAGAAAGTTATGCCCAACCTTGAAATGCGAGTTTATAAAAATGTTCCAGTTTGCTAACAATAGGTGCTTATATTGAAAAAAAATTCACACACATCAGAGTCATAAATGTATAAGGATACAAAGAAATCTCTCATTCATCAGTCATATGGATAATTAATTTCTTACTTCAGTGGCCTGTCTCCAAACATAACTCCATTAAAGGCAAGAGCTCGAGGTACAGAATTTTGATCTGCAAACTCCACAAAAGCAAATCGTGTTGGTTGCGTCTCATCACCTGCCATTCGCACAAATTTGACTTCTCCAACTTGCTTAAAGAATTCAAGCAGCTGATCTGCTGTTGTAGTCTAGAAAGAGTCGAAGAGCTCAGCTGAAGTAAAATATATAATGAAAACCACTTATCCAATACATCAGGTAATGTAAGAGCTATAGATTTTGGAAAGATACCTCACCATTATTACACAGGCGACATGAATTTGGTAATGTTACACTTTAAGAAAGACAGGTATTTTTTCTTCCATTAATCTAAAGAATATACTACAATTTAAAATAGTGCAACCACAAGACCTGAAGTCCTAAATCTAGGTTAAAAAGCATTTGCACAGGATTTTGCACTTTTCAGGCAACTCATTTGAAATAACTGATGAGGAATTACCTTATACACCTGTGTCCAAGCTATTGACTGTGAATTTTGATCAATTAAAAAAAAAAAAACCAAACAATATTACAAGACTTAGTTTTTATCTGTTTTCCTACTAGCTTCCAGCGTGTTTTATTTTATCACGATCAATAGTACTTTACACTTTAGTAGCTACTTTGGCAGTCAAAAAATCCCAAAATAAAATACTTATATTGCCATCAGTCAAAAGCAAATCCATTTTCAATTAGTTCAATCAATTGCTGAAAAAACAAGTTTCTGACAGACCCAACTTTCCTGTTATAGATACTCAAAGGTATTTATGCTAATTTTGCCATTTCTACTAGGACACATCATTCAATCTTACTGTGCTTAAGTAACTGCACACGGTTGTGGGGGACAGCTACCATGATCTCACGACTTCTGAGGCATTGCTCAGCTAACATAACCCAGCTGGACATTTGATCAACACACACAATCGTAAGTATGTTTCTTGAATTCAGCTGCAGTGTGATTTCTCTGGTATCCTGCCAGAATGCACTGCACAGTCTGGTCTTATCTGATTGGCACAGGAGCATTCAAAATTAGAAATACCACTAGTAATCAAAAAAGAAATATTTTTTTAAATTCCTGTTGTCATCAACTAACAAAAACTCTTTAACATGTAAGATTAGAATTCATAAATTGCAATTCTACACCTTCCATTAGTAGCTACCTGGGAATTCAAGTTTCCAACATAGACTGTTCTCCTGATTTCATCAATTTTGGATGGATCCACATTCCCCATAATCGGTGGTTGTGGTATTTCTCCCAGTGCTGTAATGTTAGGGTCCAATGCTGCTGCTGGTA